AATAGGGTGTGTCTTGAAAACACACATCTCAGGTATCAAAAGCCAAGGTAAAGAGGTGTGTATCCAGCATTTGCCAAAAGCTGTACAGTCGTACCTCGGCTCTCGAACGCCTTGGAAGTCGAACGTTCTGGCTCCCACACAATCGAAAACCGGAAGTGAGTGTTCCGGTTTTCGAACGTTCTTTTGGAAGTCGAACATCTGGCGGTGCTTCTGTGGCTTCTGATTGGCTGCAGGAAGCTCCTGCAGTCAACCAGAAGCCACGCCTTGGAGGTCGAACGTTTTGGAAGTCGAATGGACTTCTGGAACGGATTCTGTTCAGCTTCCAAGGTATGACTATATATGGAAGGTGCCAGACGCACCTCTATGAGGAGGGAATTTAACAATTTATAGACTGCCACATAAAATGCTCTTTCCTGAGCCACCATCACTCCAAACCTCAGAGGACAGTGAAACTACCAAGAGGGCCTTCTCTTAACACCTGAGAGGGTCTGTAGCTACAAAGGGCGGGGCTCTCTCAGATATTATACTAGCATGAGGCTCTCTCAGATATTATACTAGCATGAGCCTGGAAATGAACAGGCCAGCAATGCAGCTATTTAGAACTGGGGTTATAGGAGTTCTAAAGGAAACCTCAGTCAGTAATCTGGCTGCTGCATTTTGGACCAGCGGAAGTTTCAAAGTTGTCTTCAAGGGCAGCCCCACATGGAGCACATTGCAATAATCCAATCTGGAAATTACCAGAGCATGGAGTACCATGACCAAGTCATATCTGTCCAAAAATCTGGGACTCTTTGGGTAAGAATAAATAATTATGTTACAGGACCCCATGGACAGCATGAATTTCAAATAAAGTATGGTAAGTGTTAGTGCAGTTTGACTGCTACGTTGGAAGTCAGGTGAAACAACTACACCATGAAGTCTTTGTGTATATGTATGTACACAGGTATCTATCAAAGGAAGTATGACTTCACAAGACTCCAATACAAGTGACATCCCATACTCCAAACCCTGCTTTGCTATTCTGAGGAGGGCTTGTTGCTATTTTTAAAAAGCTTGGGAGAGGCAAATTTGACATGAGGAAATATTTGCCACTAGTCAAATATAGCTATTTGAATGGATAGCTGCTCTTATCAACAGATTTTAAAATGATAATGCTATCTAATTCTGTGGGCTTTATGATGGTTTGATATTTTGGGACATTTTATTGTACTGTTTCTATTTCAAGTGTACAAAATTTATTGTTTACATTACAGTGTTTAATTTTGGTGTTGGGTTTTTGCAAAATGCTTTGTGATTTTTTTTCCTTTATGAAAAGCAGTACACAAATTACTGAATGAACGAATGAATGTGAGAAGCTCAGACCAATTCAGGAGGGCATTTTAACCCAATTTCCCAACAGTTGGCAATGTCATGGGGAGAAGTTGCAGTATTGCGCCCCCCCCCCTCCTGTGTGATCCAAGGCTTCTTAAATTAATTTTGTGGTGTGCCACAGAATGGCTCTGCAGTAGATTACACACTGCCAAACTAATATGAGCAGTGGATCTTAGAGATCCCCAAGACCTATTGCAGGAGGAGGTTGACAGTCCTGGGCCAGATAAACCATTACAGCAGCATATCTAATACACAGTCTTCCTAGTTCATTTGAATGATTCAGGTCTACTGCAAAACAGATGGGAAGTGGGTTGCTCCCTTTGGCACATTAAAAAATATGCAGCATTGAGAAGTATAATCACTGAACTGGGCTGCCAAGGGTATTTTGTAAGCATAAGAAATCTTTCACCTTTCCGTACAAAATGGCACATACCATCACAAGTGGGCAGGCTAGTATCGGAGAAGGGGAACCATCAGATACACTGGGCTTAAACAAATTAGGAGTTTAAAGGTCACCAACAGCACTTTCAAGGAAGAAAAAGCTGTCTTTTTCACATTTTCACTCCAGGCAAAGTTTTGCACATACAAGTATAGTAGATGGTTCAATTCATACCAAGGGAGATGGCAGAACAAATGAAGATTCTGGCATTCTTTTAGAATGAATACATATCGATCTGTGATACTAGTTTTGAAATCGTACTTGGCAACGTATTCCATGCTTGGGCTGTTCGTGCACAGCAATGATGGGGGCAATTAGGAACAGAATTCTTCCTTAAGCTTCTCCTGGGGTTCTTGGTCCAGCCCTCCCTCTCGTCCATGCTGCTAGTGGGATAGGCCAGCAGGCTCCACCACAGACCAGGTGCATTCATTAGAGCTCCTGTATGCACAAGGGCAGTGCTGGGAAACCTAGAGGCCTCCCAATTTGGCCTGTGAGGCTATCTTGACTAAGCCACACCCACCTGCCACACACTTCATGTCATATATACGATATCAGGTGGGGTTGTGGGCACTACCAGTCTGAGCTTCCATGGGGCTCCACAAGACTTGATGATCATAAGGGCTTGCAAGGGCCTTGTGCACAGTGCTTGACAGCACTCGACAAACATTGCTAGCACCTTATGGAGTGTACCCATGTGGTTTCATTTCAAACCACCATGCAGGGGAAAACAGGACACCTGATGTCATTGTGACATCAGGTGATTGACAAGTAGACGGTCCCCCCACCATCAAACGTGATCACCCAAAAAGACCTTCCGAGTGTTGCAGCCTGAGTATCTGTATCTACAAAAATAGCTAACAATGGGAGTACTGTATTACTCTACAAGGCCACTCACTTCAAACTCGACATTGCTATTTTGCGGGTGGATTATCACTGTTTTTAAAAAGCTTGGGAGTGGTAAATTTGACATGCAGATGAGTAGGAGAGGGAGGCAAATTTGGCAAGAAGAAGAGTGGGAGAGGGAAGTGCTCAACTTCTTCCTGGTCCACACATTTTCCACTTCAAATCCCTCCCCATCCCCTAATCTTTTCCCCAATGTGTACTTCCTTTTCTTTTTGATCCCTATGGGACAGGGGAAGTAACCTATGAGTCATCTGAAGCAGAAAAAATTGTGAGCAGGTAAACTTTTAAGCATCCACCCTTCCTCAATTCCTTCTTCATTCACTTGCTCTCCAATATATTTTGGGTTAATTTCCTAAATATGCCAGATATCTGAATACTTTGATGATCCCTAAGTATCACCATCTCTTTTCTAGTGACAGTTTTAACTGTCTCCCTTCCACAATATGGGAAAGGCACTATCAAAGTAGTCGAAACTTTGGGCCAGGTCTTTTTTGAATGCAATCATAATAGAGAAGAATATAACAGATTTAAGTTCCTTTATGGAGAAAGACCCTTGAAGGGCCTGGAATCTTTCTTGGCTAGTACAAACAAGTTAAAAACAGATTTAGTGGCCATGTTCCTCTTCTTTACTCAAGTGCATCATGAGATGAAACTTTCAATTAAATTTGTATTTTTGTATATATTGTATTTTAAATAAGTATTTGTTTTAACGATCATGCTTTTTAGCTATGTATGTCTGTTTTAGCAGGTCTGTTGCGATATACTAAATGACAGATTGACTTCATTCCAAATTCTTCCCCAAACCCCAACAGCTGCTTTCCTTTTCTTACAAAAATGCACTGGGGCTCTAATAAGTGCATTTGTTCATAACATGTAATTAGCACCTGTCCTCTACTTACTGATGTGACATTTTTGACACTCTACATTTTAGGATGCTTTGTTCTGTGAGGCACCTCAGTCTGTTGCTCCACCTTCAACTCTAACCACAGAAGGATGCCACATCATCCCCAGTGTTTATATGTTTTTTGGCAAAATCAATAAAGTATAAATGAGCCGGAGATAATCTTGACATACAGCAAGAGAGGCAAAACCAGGATGGCAGTTGCACATGATTCTTCCATCGATGCTCTTTTCACTAGATTGTCTACAAAGTCCCCTTCCTTATGCTGACTTGCGTCATAGCAAGTACTTTGAACTTGGTTAGACTGGAAAGAGAGAAAAGCAGATAGACAGATATTGATATCTATCTGCTTCTAGTGTATGCACCTGAAAAAAAAAATCACCAAGTTTCCCCCCCTTCAACTAGTTATTTGCGTGTGTTGCTATATTACACCCAGGGACATGCAAATACTGCCATTCAAAGCAGGGCTGGTCTGCTGCCTGTTTCCCAGTGTGGCTCCCGTAGCACCTTGAGTGTTAATAGACTGCTGGAGAGACTGTAAACATTAATCATGTGCTTTCCGCTCTCTAGCCCACCTAGAGCACGAAGGGGATCCGCAGCCGCTTTAGGGAAGGCAAACTGTGTGCAGCTACCTCTTACCCTCTTCGGGTCCCGCGCTCGGCCAGGCTAGAGCTACAGTGGCAAGGAGGGGAGCCCCTTGTGCAGTTGTAATCGGTGATCCAGAAAGCCACATCATGCATTAGGAAATGCGGCTAATAAGAGCTGCAGGAGAAAGCCGGCGTGATGCAGGAAGGACAGGCGATGGCAGATGTTTGCATTGGGGGAAAAGAAAGGTGCTGACCGTACGGATTTCATCTCTTCCCTGGAGCTGAATGTCGATTTTTGGGGAGGGGAGCAAAGTCTGCTTCCTTCCCTCCCTATCTTGGCAAGAGGCGACACTGCAGGGAACTTGGGAAGAGAGAGTTACCCCCACAGACAGACAAATAAAGGGTTGTTATTTACCTTGTGAGAAGTGCAGCCCGCTCCTGGGCTCAGCTATTGCCGCAGGTGCAGAGGAAAAGAGAGGATGCCCAGTCCTGCTTCTGCGGCTGCCTTCTGCTAAACTCACATCCCCCGCCCGCCCTTGGTCCCCAGGCAGTCGCTGCTGCTGCTGCTGCTGCTGCTGCTGCCTCACACTGAACTCCCCCTTCCCCCCTTAAGACGCGCTCGCTTTCCCGACCCATTCACAACCAAAGCGGCTGTGCGTGTGTGCGGCAGCTTCAACCAGGGGAAAAACTGACAGGGCCGCTGACCAATCTGAAGGCGGAGCAGTCCGCCGGCTTGACTAAGAGGCCAATGGCTCTGCTGCAGAGGACGCCAGACGAACCAATGGTGGGCGGGCGCAGTGGGTGACAGACCCCAGGATAGGGACACAGGCGCCCATAGCAGACTCCAGGAGACGTTAATGTATGAGGGCCTGTTCAGGAGCCAGTCACCACCCTGACACCACGCCTTCTTGAAAGGTCTCCCAGAGCACCGCATCTTCCTGCTACTCCAGAGAGTATGTTTGTGCAGGATCTTTCTTCAGTTCATGCTAAAACACAAACTCACACAATAAACATTTTGAGAGCTTTTGGTTTTGGAATTGGGTTAGTAAAGAAGGACGAAATCCTCTCTAAAGGGTGATCTTTTAGTATTTATTTTATTGAACAGTCCACAGGATTGACACACACACCCCCTCAAAGAGTATCAACACAAAAACACACTTAGTGGGTGTGCCTTGCCCCATAATTATTTATATGGTATAGAATGTGTTAGCTGTGTTAGAAAAAGTAACAAACAGGTCCCTCCCAAAGTAGCTGAGCGACTTATAGCTTAAAATAAGGTAAAGTACTTTCCAAGGTAAATGTGGAGCACTAACGACAATTCTCAGACCGCATTACTTCTACATAAATTGTTCTTGACATTTATAATCACCTAAAAAGTTTAAAACAATGTATATATTGCTGCCTGTATGTTCACTGGCTTATAGTTTTTATTATTTCTCACAACAGTTTTTTTGAAAGCACATTATTAGTATTTCCATTTTACAGTGGGAAGCTGAGGCAGAGAGAAAGTGGCAAGTCCAAAGGGGAGCTTCAAGAACAAAAATTTAAACTAAAGACCACAGTGAAGAAAACCATAGTTAATTCCAGGTGTTGAATGGAGTTGTGGTTGCCACTAGTTCTGAAATGTGGTAGCTTCAAAGAGTTTGCAGTTCAGCACCAGGGACTACTGTTCAAGGGTAAATATGATCATTATTGTTAGCTGCCCTGGAAATACTAAAGTTCAGGATACATATTTGTAAAATAAATAACAGAGATGTTTGGATTGTGGCCATAGCCTCTAAGGCAAGCTTAAAATATTGCTTCTGGATATCGTAAGTCCTTACGTTCAAGAGTGGTCTCTTGTAGTTTATTATTTTCCAAAGGAAGTAAACCACATACATTTATTCCTACAAAGAGAAGGAAAGGCAATGTGCAAAGTAACCACTATGAAATGATTATGTCAATCAGAAATGTAGGGCACATGGAGAGCAAAACCTAATCTCTGAGAGGTTTCCCCTTTATCTGCACTCAGCTACATAATCAGCTTTTCATCTCAACATAGGATAAATGCAACCTGCCTGCTGCTTCATTTACCCTATATAGAGAGAGCTGTGGTAGAATTGTATGAATCAAATAGTCACAGAGTTTGAATGAAATTGCCTCAAGTTCCCCCAAAAGCGTCCCATCATTGTTTCCAAAGCTCTACAACATGCAAAATGTTCAAGTCTTTAATTGCATTTCAGACATCAGGAAGGTTACTTCCTAACAGTTCAGTCCAATATATATATTTACTCAGAAGTAAGTCTCAGTGACTGCTTACTCCTGATAAAGTGTGTGAATAGAACTGCAGCCCAAGTGAAGCATTTTTAGCTCCTACAAAGAAGATAGTTAATTGCCTACAAGCCAATGGTATGTAATTCAAGGATAGCAGCAGTATTGATGAAGAGGAATTCTATGAATAATCTGGTTCAGTGCGCTCAAAATAAATCAGTACAACAGTTTAATTGAATAGGATTGAACAAGGTTGGTTCACTATGGATTCTTCTTTATGAAAATGAATTTACTGTTTTTCATTAAACACCATCTTTTGTAGAAATATTAACTTGTCTGTACAATAAGTAACAAAGCTCAGTCTATGTGCCTGATTAAAAAAAAGTGTAATTAACAGAAGGTTCTTGTTTTCCACAGCAAACATCCCCAACCTCACTTAAAACTGCATTATGGGAGAGCAGCAGAGAGAAGAGTCAGAACAAGGAACAAGGAAAGTAGTTCTGCTTAAAGTCTGCCATAATAAGTTACTCTGTGTAAGAGAAAGTGATGGAGGAAGTGCACATCACTAAATTTAATAATCAGAGGGATTTATAAAAGGTAGCTGCATTTTCTTCTAATTTTAGAAAATATTTTCTCCTCGTAGAACTTAAAATGCTGTACTCAGTAACACCAGTGTAATTTCTTCCAGAATCAATAGGGATTTGGGTTTTATATATATATAAATTAGAGCAGCATTTCAATCATTTGCACTCACTTGCTCAATACTAATGTAAGTTCAGCAATGGAATCCAGGAAAGTCACTGCCAGTCAATCTAGGCCAGGCATAGGCAACCTCGGCCCTCCAGATACAATTCCCATCATCCCTGACCACTGGTCCTGTTAGCTAGGGATCATGGGAGTTGTAGTCCCAAAACATCTGGAGGGCCGAGGTTGCCTATGCCTGATTTAGACTATGGCTGGGGAACCTGTTTCAGCCCAAGAGCCACACTGGGAACCTTCAGTGGGGTTTAGACCCTCTTATGGATCAGTAACTGGTTAAGAAACAAGAAGCACAGAGTAGGAATAAATAGACAGTTCTCCCAATGCAGAGATATAAAAAGTGGAGTCCCCTATGAACTAGTATGGGGACCAGTGCTTTTTAACTTGTTCATAAATGATCTAGAATTAAGGTGTGCTGTGAGGTAGCAAAGTTTGAAAAAAATGTTTGGAATAACTTTTTTAAAAAGACCAGAGGCATTTCTGTTAAGCATTGTTGGCAAGGACATCCCGAAGGCCTTTAGGGAGGTATTCTTATATGCAACGGCTGCAGCTCGGACTTTGGTGGCAAAGGGGTGGAAGGAACAAGAAGCTCCCGCAATAACAGACTGGCATTACAAGCTACAAGAATTTGCTGAAATGGCACAGTTAACAAATACCCTGAGAGGCAATTCAAAACAAAAATTTATGAAAAAGTGGGATAGATATAAAACATATGTTCAAAAATACAGTAAAGGTTCGCTATCTTTGCTAGCATTTGATTGCTGTTGGAGTGAGACTGAGTTGAGAAATAAGATTAAGAGCACATATTGATATAGGAATGTATTAGATAATATGTAAAACTATACAATAATAAGAGTACATTCATTTCTAAAAAAGGAATATAAAACGGGAAAGACAGGAAGTCTAGTGTGTTGGTATGTATATGATTTTGGGGGGAAATTTTGTTTTTGTTTTATATCTTTGTTTTTTCTTCTTTTTGCTTCATTTTCTTTCTAGGTAAATAAAATTTGTATATAATTTTTGTATACATGTTGGAAATAATATTATAGTAAGTCCTGTAATGTAATATGACAACGTTTACCAATGTAATATAAGAATGTTAACAAATAAATAAAATGCAAATTCAAAAAAACCACAAAAAACAAAAATAAAGTTTGCTGATGACACTAAATTGTTCAGGAATGTTAAAACAAAAAAGAGTTGTAAGGAGCTCCAAAAAATCATAGAACTGAAGAGTTGGAAGGGTGGGGTCATCTTGTCCATGGGGTCTGAAGTGGCAGTGACTGACTAGGAATGAGACCTTGGGGTCATAGTGGAGGGCTTGATAAAGACTTAGGGCTCATCCACACTTCTGCTTGTCCTGTGACTTCTAGGCTTCTGTCTGTGCATGCCTCTTTTCATGCAGGTAAGCAACTTGCAACATCATATGCTTAAGTCAGGACTGATGGAACATTTTTATTGTTAATGTGAGCTGGCGATGCTTTTTCTTGTTGTTATATATACAAAATTTAAACAAACAAATAATTGCTTCTACATCAGTGCTATGTTAGAGTAAAAAACAAAACAAGCAAAACCAGTTTCCCAACCCTGGTTTAAAATAATTTAAAAAATGAACACATACAACTTTCGCATTTTAAATCACAAAAATCATCGTATAATCTCATGACTACAAAATAAAAAAGGTTTTGCTTCTGTCACTCTGGTGTTAAACATATTTAGGGGGCAGGGTTGGACAGAGGCTTGTGGGGCTGCATTCAGCCACTGAAGTTCCTGTTTCTGAGATACAGGATCCTGGAAGAGATACAACTTGAAAACTGCACACTCCAGGTTACAGGTCCTCTCAGGCCATTGCACACAAACACACCCTGGGTTCTTCAAGTGGTAGATATTACTTCTATTAAGTCTTCTTCTTCTTCTTCTTCTTCTTCTTCTTCTTCTTCTTCTTCTTCTTCTTCTTCTTCCCTTGCTTCCCTCACACAGGTGACCCAAAGTGACTTACAAATGATGGTTGCACGGTCTGGGTCAGTACGTGTGAGGAAAGGCAGTCCTTGAGGTATTGGGGTTCTGAGCCACGCAAGGCTTTATAGGTCAAAACCAGCATTTTGAAATTAGCCTGGAAATTGATTGGTAGCCAGTTCAGTCATGCTAGATTTTGTGTTATCCGTTTGGACCATCCTGCCTCTGTCAGCAGTCTGGGCACTCTCCAACAGCTACAGGTTCTAAACCATCTTCAAAGGCAGCCCCATAAATCCACGTTAATTGTGTTTAACTACAGGTGAGAATCAGGGGGGCTTGGCTATTCCCCTGCTCCATGCATGTTCCCCATATGGGCTTAGGATGGTGTTGCAGTTCAAAAGCAGAAGGATTAAGCATTAGTATTAGCATGCCTTTGGGAATCCCATGTTGGCATCATTTTAGTCCCAGCTTTTGAGTAAGGCTTTTGATTGAATATAGTCTTTGTCTGCCTTCTGGCATACCGTTCTCTGTGAATAACTACAATCAATGGGATTTTGATGTGCACAGACTGTCTGTAGTACTGCAGCATGGTTAAGAAAGTGAAGGTGCACACTGATCTTGTATAGATTTAATAATCGCATGCCTGGAAAAGGGCATTAATTTCAAGTGGCAATAAATCGCAAGCATCGTGTCCCTTTCTTTAGTATGCTAGAAGGAAAACCAAAACAGAAGCAGCAATAAGGACAACTACTATGCAGCATGAAAAGGTGTTGAAAAATAAGACTCCAAAGTTGACAAATTTTGGCTTGGCTTACTAGCCAGTGTTTATTTGTGGTCAGTGGTTCCCCACCCATGTATATGCCAAAGAATATGAGGAACTGGAGTGATGTTTTTCATTTTGTAGTGGGATCTTGAGCAGGCAGAAACAGCACTAGTTCAAATTGAGCAGTTTTCTGCTCCAAAGCTCAAGGTAATGCAGACCCCGCCTCTCCCCACTCTCTGAAATCAGAGGAAGGGAAGGGGGGTATCATGCAATGGAGAGACCCCTCCTCCCTTCTTCAGAATAAGGAGGCAGGGATTTCTACGTGCTGAGCAAGGGGCATCACCAGAGAGCCTGATTATATATGGGGTTTAGATTTAGTAATCATTTTTAGACTGGCAAGTTTGTAGCTAGGCATTCACAATATTCAGAGATTTACCTGAAAGGGGATTACTAGCTAGACAAATCCCATTAAAGTCAATGGGATTAAATTAAAGAAGAAATTTTACTCTTGTGCCTATGTGCTTGCTGCAGCTTGAAATTTACCAAGCTTGAGAAAAGCTGAACATGTTACTGCCTACATCCAAAACGAAGAAATACATTGACATTGCCAATTGGAGTGCATTCATGTTGATTAGTGAGATGTCTTAGTTTGACCAGTTTATGGTGCATCTTTTTAGCAAACTTTGCCAAATCTTGCCATCAGCAAATACATCATGGTAAAAAGAGTAGGTTTGTTGACACGTTTAGCCACGACTATTTAGAAGCAAGTGTAATTAATTTCAATAAACAAGGTTGCTTAGCACTGTAGGATATGATTTGTTGGGAGGATGTAACAATTATAAAGGCATTTAGATGATGATGATGATGATAATAATAATAATAATTAATAATAATAATGTGTTTCCCCAGCCACCCTGGACAGCTTACAGAATCTATAAAACATAATAAAGCACCAAACATTAAGAACTTCCCAATACAGGGCTGCCTTCAGGTGTCTTCTAAAAGTTATGTAGTTCTTAATCTCCTTGACATCTGAAGGGACAGTGTTCCACAGGGCGGGTGCCACTACCGAGAAGGTCTTCTGCCTGGTTCCCTGTAACTTCGCTTCTCGCAAAGGGAACCACCAGAAGACCCTCGGAGGAGGACCTCAATGTCTGGGCTGAAGGATGGGGGTGCAGACACTTCTTCAGGTATACTGTTGTTCACACAAAAGAGAGGTGGAAGCTTTGATGAAGGGCCAAATAAATAAAAATAGATGCTGCTATGGTCGGACAGTGTTCTCGAAGCTACCAACATGAGTTTGACCAAACTGCGGGAGGCAGTGGAAGACAGGAGTGCCTGGCGTGCAATGGTCCATGGGGTCACGAAGAGTCGGACATAACTAAACAACAACAAAAACTATCTATCTTGCATGATAAATTACTGTATTTTTAAAGTTATTGTCATAGATCTGATTGCTTCTGTTTTCTTTCGACTTTCTGGCCTGTATCACATTGTCATTAACCAAGTAGCGTGGTAAGAAAAAATATTAATAATTATTAACGACTGAAAATAATAATTCATAAGGCACAAAACTTTCCATAGTATTTGTTTGCATGTGACAGAGTCCCTATAGGACTCAAAGAGTCTTGTTTCCTCCCCCCCCCCATTTATTTTTAGATCCACGTCTCTATAAACATGCATTAGGTGGGGCTTGTTACCAATCAAAATATTCCTTTGGACACTAAACTCATCCTTTTATTAGTTTTCAATGCAGACATTCTGAAACTTCCCACAAAAGATCTGGTACTCCATCATTTGACAGTGGCACAACTCACCATCAAAAACTACGTGTAGACTTTGGAAGGCAACCTCTGTGAAATCTGGTTTACAAAAACTATGCATATCAAAAAGAACACGGATATTTCAAAATTTCAACTTACTATACAAATTAGCTCTATAGCTAGCTAACTCAGTGCATCTCGCTTTTTTTTCAGGAGAATGGAACAGAGTGCATTGCTAGAACTAATTAAAAAAAATGACAGCATTGGCTGGTCAGGTCATATGACTTGTCTATTATTGCCACCCAGTGGAAGCAATCACAAGTTTATCTTCAAAACATTGCTAAGTAGAACACTGAAATGTAACAGAAGCAATTTCATATTCTAAGAACTAATAAAACAAGCTTTAAACTCACAGTATTCACTCACTTTGAAGGGCAAACAACCGGCTTTTGCCATACAACAGAAAATAAAACAAATATAATCTGCACACATACAAAGTCTTCTTTATACCTGACATTCTCATGGCAGTTTCAATAACAAATCCATGGGGACCATATCGTAGAAAAGGAAAAGAATCACCTTCCCTTGGCAAGATAGTCTTACACCTACTTACTTCTTTAATATTTTATTTAAGAAACCTGCACTGGTTTCCTGTCTATGGTACTTGGCTACTGAGTGTTCAGTACACGCAAGGTGTCAAGTATCTCACAGAGAGGTGAGCAATTGCAGCACTGGTTTAGTCACAGTGAAAAATATCTGGAGCTATCTTCTTCTCAGGTCCCAGACAAAATATGACGCGCTTTACTTTGTTAGACCAGCCAGGGGAGGAAGCTCAACAGTGGCAGAACGGCTATTACATAACTCCCTCTCTGTTTTCTTCATTACTTGACCTTGCTCTATGGATTGCATTCGTAACAAATTACTCACCCTTAACAGCAGGTGCACTGTAACATTCTGTGAAAGCTGTGGTCTCTCACAAGAGATCAAGAACTGTCTCAGGTAGAGCATTATTAGTCACTAGATTATTCCACAACATATGGTGTCCTAATATAAATGACTATGCACACCTATAGGTGATTTGGATTTTTTTCTAGATAATTATTTGCATGGCATAGCTGCTACATTAAATCCATTTGAAACTGCCCTTTTGAAGAAGCTGTTTTATGTGGCAAGCAATTTGAGGGATACCGGTTTGCCAAGCAGATCAGATCAGCCCCCATTCAATGGTTATGATTTTATGGGTTTTTCCAATTGTTTCAGCTGTTACCATGAGCCTCCTTCAGAAATGCTTCACAGCTATCTGGAAAGTTCTACTGCTGAATTATTGGGAGGACAGGCAGAGTATCCTTTAAGGAAATCTGCAAGCCCCACCCACAACATGGCCAAGTCATACCCCTTGAAGCATTCTAAACTGAGGGCTGGCCCACAGCAATTTGAGTACCAAAGAGAGCAAAAGCCCTACAGGCTGATCTTTATACTGCGGACATAGAATGTCTCATCGTGAAAAGCAATCACTATGTGGAGGCGGTTTCAAGCAGCTGCCAATTATCATATTTTGCCCGACTCCTGTCCGCAAAGTATCTAAGCAGAGGCTCTTACTTAGAAGAAAAATATATTTATTCAGGCAAGTAACAATACAGTCTCAGCAGCAGACATGGTTCAGGAGTTCAGGAGCAGCACGAGAACTTCAGAATGGGACAGAAGCAACGAAGATGTCCCAGTAAGCTTCCCCACCAAGGTTTTAAAGACAAGGGCTCACTTGCCTTGCAGGAAAGTTGGGATTGCTAGGGCACACTCCATTAAGGGGCAACCTAGCTCTAGGCAACAAGGCTCCTGATCATAAGCTGCCACCTCCCTCCTCAGCTGATTAAAGCTGCGCGGTGGCGCTGTGGGTTAAACCACAGAGCCTAGTGTTAAGTTGTGGGTGAACATATCAGACGACACAGCGATTCTTCAAACAGCTCTTGTTTATTCACAGTCCAGAACTGAACTGAACTGAAGGGTTCAGCCAGCCTGCTTATATAGAGCTCCACTAGAACGCAACAGTAACCATTTTCTGTAACTATCCAATCACTGAACGTCACTTTCAATCCCTTATTTGCATATGTGAACCTGAGTGAAAACTATCTACAGTATCCCCCTGCTGGCCCAGGGTGAGAACTTCAGTACATAACACCTAGGACTTGTCGATCAGAAGGTCGGCGGTTCGAATCCCCGCGATGGGGTGAGCTCCCGTTGCTCAGTCCCTGCTCCTGCCAACCTAGCAGTTCGAAAGCACGTCAAAGTGCAAGTAGATAAATAGGTACCGCTCCGGCTGGAAGGTAAACGGCGTTTCCGTGCGCTGCTCTGGTTCGCCAGAAGCGGCTTAGTCATGCTGGCCACATGACCCGGAAGCTGTACGCCGGCTCCCTTGGCCAATAAAGCGAGATGAGCGCCGCAACCCCAGAGTCAGTCACAACTGGACCTAATGGTCAGGGGTCCCTTTACCTTTACCTTTACAGCCTCCACTGAGGCTCTTTGAAGGGAGAACTGGCATCATTGCTCCCCCTTCCAAGGGGCTGAAGTAAGGGTGGAAAAGGGAGATTCCCTCTTCCTCCAACCCAGGTTCCAACCTTTCATCCCCCGCTTTTCTCCTTCTTATCCTCCTTGTGTCAGAGTCTGCCAATCCAAGCTTGATGCCAACAAAGCTGTGAGGCTCATGGCGCCTTACTCCAAAGAACTTATTCAGGTGCTCTCATTTCATGCTCGCCACAACTCTGGTCTCCTCCAGCCGAATCCAACTCAAACTGCTACCCAACATTGCATTGAGAGCTAGTGTGGTGTAGTGGTTAAGAGCTGTAGACTCGCAATCTGGGGAACCGGGTTCGCGTCTCCGCTCCTCCACCTGCAGCTGCTGGGTGACCTTGGGCCAGTCACACTTCTCTGAAGTCTCTCAGCCCCACTCACCTCACAGAGTGTTTGTTGTGGGGGAGGAAGGGAAAGGAGAATGTGAGCCGCTTTGAGACTCCTGAAGGGGAGTGAAAGGCGGGATATCAAATCCAAACTCTTCTTCTTCTTCTTCTTCTTCTTTCTTCCCTCCGACATCTCTGTCGCTTTCATCCAACAACATTATGTTCTTCGGTGTCTCCAGGTCAAATCTCAAAGAAAAAGCTTTGTTGGTCCTTTTCTTCAATGTACTGATGAGTAACCACATAGGATGTGCAGCTAAGCAAAGCCAAGTACTGCCATCACCAGGAATCAGTATTTTAAAAGCTATTTAAACAGCAACTCAGCACAGGGGTGGGGTGGAGATATAAAAGGATTAAAGTTGTTTGGATATGGTATGTTCTCCTACAGATTTTTAGTAAAAGGGGAGGAAGACATATTTCTCCTCCCACCAGGTAAATGAAAAAGAAACATATCCAAATAAAGTTGCAGGACAGTGTCTCTATATATTATGCACAAATTTCTGAACACTTAAATAATTGATTTGACTATTTGGTACATTGTCCCCATCTAGAATTCTACATAAGTGCTTGGGAGAAGCGACTTGACCCACAAAATGGCCTCTTCAGCATTCAACATCAACGGCAAAGGTGGAAAGAAAAAGAAAGACAGCAACAGGGAAAAAAAGTGGATTAAAACACTGCGACTGCTGGGGGTGGTGAGGGGAGGGGTTGGAATTGGAACTGAAAACGATTGCTAGCAAACATTCTCAGCCAGTCAGCCCATAGCACTGGCTCAGGGTAGTGTGGTGTAGTGGTTGGAGCCACGTGGCCATGAAGTTCCCTGGGTGACCTTTAGCCAACCACTGCCTCTTAGCCTAACCTACCTCACAGGGTTGTTGTGAGGATTTAATGTGGAGTGGGGAGAATCATTTATGCCACCTTGAGCTCCTTGGAAAGAAAAGTGTAATATAAATGCAATCAACCAACCAACCAACCAACCAACCAACCAACCAATAAAATAAAGAAGCCAGCACTATGCAGGCAGCCTTTATCACATCCACAGCACATAATCTAGATCCAGCTTTCCATCGGCCAAATCCTGTTTCACCAACACCTTTTTCACAGTTCACTGTTCAGCTTGGTATACCTGATCTTGGAATACCATCAAGGCAGATATATTTAATTAGGGAAGGCTTTACAATGCCTGCCATTGGAAGTCAGATAATAAAGTTCAGACCCTTGTTAGAACTAGAGCTATGTATAACTATCAGTAACAACAACAAAATACCTGAATTTTTACACTTGTTTTTAGCTTGTAAACTGAAAAATGGTACCCTGACTTTTTAGTAGCTATCTACAAGGCTTCAATAGGAAGGAGCAGATTTGTGGTGGATCATAAGGTATGGGGGGGGGGGAATGTGTGTGGAAACCACCCTGAAACGAAAATAGCATTTTTTAAAAGCTAGTATCACTTAGCAGAAAGCAAACAGGAAGGCTCTGGTGAAATCTTACCCCAGTCAACCAGTAAATAATGCTATTATTTACTCAGTAAACAGGTTTAAAAGGTTGAGGTTTGCAACCCGGCATTGCTATTAGATGCATCCTTAAAGATAGATACCTAAATTACATCCATAGCATGAAGAACATTTCACCAACTTCAGCTTCTTTTTTTCCCTTACGTCTTTAGCAACAGCCCAAAATGCATAAATAAAGCAAAACGCTCCCTCACTTTTTGATTGGTGGAAACAGCTTCCCTACTAACATTTGATATGTCACAAAACTTTTGCAAATACAGAGGCACAACTGTACATACAGATGTTGAAAGAATGAATCTTCCATAAAACCCAACAGCTCAAGTTATGTACCCAACAAAAAAATAGGAACATAAATTTTGGCCAGCGATTCCATCATCTCCAAATGTAATTTTGAACATTTTACATAAGCTCTTTGTACAGTGATGACCCCGCACACAGTTGTGTACACCAGAATCCCTTTTGCATGTGGAAATAATCCTGCATGTTGTTTACAGGATCAGATCCTGCAATGGAATAATGACTGCTGTAGCTTTTGCGTGCCGGTGCCTTAACAGCCTAAAATATTTAATTATTTGGTTACACAAATTCAAGCTGGAATATGAAAGAATGATGCATGTAATACTTGCTTACTGCTGCTAATTTCACACAGGGAAGGGATTCATGAACAGCTGCTGAGCTATTGTGTATTATTATCTAAGCCAGAACACTCCAGCTGTCTTTACTAGATTGATTTTAGTTTTGAATTCTAATTCCTGAATCTTCTAAAGCACTGGTCTGCTTTACAGGTAACAAGAAGTATTGAATGATTCTCTTAAACTTAGTCTTTAAGGACATTAAAAATCTGAGTACTTTTTTAAAAAAGGGACGCGGGTGGTGCTGTGGGTTAAACCACAGAGCCTAGGACTTGCTGATTAGAAGGTTGGTGGTTCGAATCCCTGCGACGGGGTGAGCTCCCGTTGCTCGGTCCCTGCTCCTGCCAACCTAGCAGTTCGAAAGCATGTCATAGTGCAAGTAGATAAATAGGTACGCTCCGGTGGGAAGGTAAACGGCGTTTCTGTGCGCTGCTCTGGTTCGCCAGAAGCGGTTTTAGTCATGCTGGCCACATGACCCGGAAGCTGAACACCAGCTCCCTTGGCCAATAAAGTGAGATGAGCGCCGCAACCCCAGAGTCGGCCACGACTGGACCTAATGGTCAGGGGTCCCTTAACCTTTTACTTTTAAAAACAACAACTATGTGTAGCTCAGATGTCCTAGCCTGGGATAGCTCAGTTGGTAGAGCATGAGACTCTTAATCTCAGAGTTGTAGGTTCGAGCCCCATGTTGGGTCTAAGATTCATGCATTGCCATAGGTTGGACTAGATGACCATAGTCCAACTCTATAATTCTACAATTTACTAAATAGGCATGCAAGCAATGCACCATTTATAAAACAGTTGAATAGGCTAAAATAAGATGGCCTGCCATTCATAAGGATTCTCACACTTCAACACACACACACACGTAGTTTGCAATCACCATACCTCTGACATTCTGGAAAACTACCTAGATTAGATATCCTAGAGTCTACATGAGGCAGCATCTTCTGCAAAAGCAAGAATTAAAATCTACATCGCCCAGATATCACCGAGGGCTGGTGCAGTGCTATGGTTAGTGTTTGATGGAGACGTGGGTTCTCATCCCCTCTCAGCCATAAATTTCACTGGATAACCTTGGGCCAATCACTGCCTCTCAGCCAGCTTACCTCACAAGGTTGTTGTGAGACTTAACTTGGGAGAAGAACCACGTACAACACCTTGAGGTTCTTGGAGGAAAGGTGGGATTTAAATATTAAAGATGTAGCAATCCCTTCACCCCCCCTACAAAACCTGGTGCTATCAAAACAGAAGCTCTGTCCACGCATTCTTAATTCTATCTACAGCAGGGGAGCCAACACCAGCCCTGCCCCTCCAGCCCTGCCCTTCCCACATTGAGCAGGTCTGAAGGAAGATGGCATGGGCATTTGGCTGAATGAGCTTAGTTTACAGTCCTTCCTGCAATCAGGAAACCTGCGTGCGTGATCCAGGTTCCTGGTTGCAGAAGGACCGTAAGCACTTGCATCCTTCCTTCACCCTTTCCTACTCAATGCAGAAAGGTTGGGGGGGGGACTGGCATGTGCACACCCCATCTTACAATGGAATTAAGTATGCTTGAAAAAGGCCAGTCACTCCTGAAACCAAGATGCATACCCAAAACCAGCAAATCAGAGTAACACTCTCACCATTCTCAGCCTGCAGAAACCAAGCTGTTCTGTCTATTCTCCAGCGCTGAGGCTGAATTACCGTAATATGATTTGCCGCTGGCTTCTTCTACATCCTGTAGGTCACATTATGGTGGGGAAGTGGGTAGAATCAAATGTTTAAGATGACTTCAAACTGAGGGTGCTGATGGGGGCGCACGTGTAATTTTCAAGGGGGCGATTGAGATATTGGGAATGGGTAACTGACAACAGGTTTGCCTTTGAGTTTTTTACTTACAGTGGTGCCTCGCAAGACGAAATTAATCCGTTCCACGAGAGTCTTCGTCTAGCGGTTTTTTTGTCTTGCGAAGCAAGCCCATTGACGGATTAGCGCTATTAGCGCTATTAGCGGTTTAGCGGCTATTAAAGGCTTAAAGGCTTAGGGGATTAGCTGCTAAAAGGCTATTAAAGGCTATTAAAGGCTTAGCAGATTAGATAAAGGGGGAAGTGAAAAAAATCTCAAGACTCGCAAGATATTTTCGTCTTGCGAAGCAAGCCCATAGGGGAATTCGTCCTGCGAAGCAACTTCAAAACGGAAAACCCTTTCGTCTAGCGGTTTTTCCGTCTTGCGAGGCATTCGTCTTGCGGGGCACCACTGTACTGATTTTTTTCTGGATAGTGTGATTCTTGGGTATGGGGGAAAATACAGGCAGAGTCTACAAAACAACAGCAGCAACAACCTTGCATGCATTAGGAGCAGTGACTCCACAATAAATTAAATACCCCTCTGACAGCACCCTTAAGATACACACCTAAGTCCCTTTCCATGTTTGGTGTTAATAAGGCTAGTACCAAAGTCTTGAGAAGCCATTGCAATGTGTAGCACGGATAACAAGGCAGGCCACCTCCCCTTGGTGGTTAGGCCCATAATTCCCCAGAACCACAAGACAGGAAATGGATATTATTATTATTATTAATTTATTATTTGTACCCCGCCCATCTGGCTGGGTTTCCCCAGCCACTCTGGGTGGCTTCCAACAAAGATTAAAAATACATTAAAATGTCACACTTCCCTGAACAGGGCTGCCTTCAGATGTCTTCTAAATGTCAGGTAGTTGTTTATCTCTTTGACATCTGATGGGAGGGCGTTCCACAGGGCGGGTGCCACTACCGAGAAGGCCCTCTGCCTGGTACCCTGTAACTTCGCTTCTCGCAGTTAGGAAACCGCCAGAAAGCCCTCAGCGCTGGACCTCAGCATCTGGGCAGAATGATGGATCCCTTGACCTCCCTGCCTTGACAAGCTAGCTAGCATTATTTTGTCTTATGTACTCCATTTCCGTCAGCAGATATGAGACTGGAAACCACACCCTTCAAACTCTCGCCTTTAAAGGCAGGAGGCATTTGAAACAGGTGTCCCTATTCCCTAAGGAAAGCCCTGCCTCAGGGGAGATCTGAGGAAGAAGTGAAAGATTAGCTAGCTTGATGTTTTCTTTCTTAATTGCAGAGCAGCATCACAGAGGATGTAAGAGAGAGAGAGAGAAATTGGCTGCCTGGTTGTTGTTTTGTTGTTGTTGTTTTTTCAGATCCCTTGTGCCTTTAAAAGCTGCTTGGTGTGGGAAAAAACCGACACTTTTCAAAGCTCAGAAAGGAAATAATGGGACATTTTTCACCAATTAAATTGTTGTAAGTCCATACAGTTTTCAAGGGCACAGAAGATCCTTGGGGTGGGGTGGAGGGACAAGGTAGTCATGTAGGAGCCCAGTAAGTGGACTTTTTACCTGACTGCATGTATAAGCAAAGTTGCTCATTTGTAATGACCGCTCCCCGCATAAAACGGGGGGTGACCTTTGCGTGGACGCGCGCAGCCCCTGGATCTGGAGCGGCTCCATCAGCATAGGCTTGGCTTTGCCTTCCCTCAGGTGGGATACCTGGAGGTCTCCGCCTACCCCAGTCAGCTGTCCAATCCCACCTGGGGAAGCGTTGCCAAGGAGATCAGGCCAGGTAGGGGAGGGACTACCTGCCCACACAATAGAGGGAGGATCTTACCTGGGAATCCTCACTTGGCTCCAGAGCTTCTCCCACCCTACCCACCCTCAGTTAATGCATTATTTTGCAGGTTAACTTTTCTTCACAGGTTTTGCAGGTTAACTTTTCTTCACAGGTATGCGGGCGCTGCTACGTTAAGGTCGTTGTCAAAGGGCCGGAAAGGAATTCCCCTGCATTGGCAGGTTTTGCCTTTCCCGTAGCAAAACGTCACAACTTTGGCAGTATCAGGCCTTGGGTGGAATCCTTTAGTCCATCTTCCTCTTTGCGGCGGCGATACCAGGGTTCCCCGTTAAAGGGGTTTCTGAAGGGATGCTTTGACCGTACGCCAAAAGGTCGTCATTGCATTGCAGAGTTTTGAGAAACTAAAAAACAAAGTGCGAGATTGGCTTCAATATTATCAGATAATGGAGGCATATAATTCGGACAAGAAAATTGGTTTCCTGGTGGAAAAATCAAAATTAGAAACAGAACTGTTAGAACCCAAAACTAAGATTTTGTCAAAGGTGTATAACTTGCTGTTGAAATGGAATACTCAGGATGAAACGGTGAAATCTGCTATTATTAAATGGGCACAAGATGTTGGACATAACATAATGATGGCTGACTGGGAAAAGTTATGGACCACAGGTATGAAGTTTACGGCATGCAATGCCTTAAGAGAGAATATTATGAAAATGATATACAGGTGGTACATGACACCAGTCAAGCTTGCAAAAATCTATCATTTGCCCGATAATAAATGTTGGAAATGTAAAGAAATTGAAGGTACATTCTTTCACCTTTGGTGGACGTGCCCAAGGATTAAGGCTTTCTGGGAAACGATCTATAATGAAATGAAAAAGGTATTTAAATATACCTTTCTGAAGAAACCAGAGGCCTTTCTCCTGGGCATTATGGGCCAATTGGTGCCAAAGAAGGACAGAACTTTTTTTATGTATGCCACAACAGCAGCAAGAATACTCATTGCAAAGTATTGGAAGACACAAGATCTACCCACTCTGGAAGAATGGCAGATGAAGGTGATGGACTATATGGAACTGGCAGAAATGACTGGCAGAATCCGAGACCAGGGAGAAGAGTCGGTGTAAGAAGATTGGAAGAAATTCAAAGACTATCTACAGAAATATTGTAAAATTAATGAATGATAGAATGATGTTGGATAGAAATTAAGTGGTTTCCAGCTGTAATGCTACAAGGGAATATGAAAAATGGATCATTAATAGGTAAAAATTTAACGTTACAATATTTTAAGATTAAAGACTAGGATAAACAAAGAGGGTAAGGATTTGCTGAACCAACAATACCGAACTGGAATACAAAAAAGGGAGGCGTGAGGAGGTCCGGGAAACAAGCTAATGAAAAATAAGTAATGGAAAGACTGAGTTAGTTTTAATCATTTTTATTTTGTATTTTCTTCTTTTTTTTATTTTGTAACATTTTGAAAATGTTAATAAATATCTTATAAAAACACACACAAAAGGTCGTCATTGCTCTCCCCTGCGGTGGCGGCGTAACGGGGGCGGCTATCTCTGCTTGAACATATGTTCTCCAGAGCCGGCCCATCCCCCACACAAACACTGGATAACCCTGATGCTCCCTAGGTCCCTGGCTGGGGATTGGGGAGGGAGAACGCCCAATGCCTGAGCCAAGGTCTACCCATATTTGAAATTTAATAAAGTTGTGGCCAATTTAATCCCATAGCACGTTGTCTTGAGTCGTTATTCCACATGACAGGGGGACCGCTCGGGATCTGGGGACTCCGCCTGTCCACGCAATAACCCTAGATGAGGCAGCCCTGTTAACTTTTGAGTCCATGCTTCATGCATTAATCTCAGTACAGTACTTCTGGGTGCACAGCTGTCAACATTTCCCTTTTTTAAAGGGAAATTCCCTTATTCCGAATAGGATTCCTCACAAGAAAAGGGAAAACTTGACAGCTATGTCTGGGTGTCAGATCCAAAGAGCGAATAATATTGGTGAGTGACTCTCTTTCATAATCAACTAAGATTCATGATCACTTTTAGAATTTTGTGGACTTTTATCAGGTTCTTCATTGATTTGAGACCAGTTAGTTCCTCCCATCCTTGGTAAAAATAATAATGATGAACTCCCCAAAGTTCCTGTTTTTTAACAGTCACAGGGGAGCAAAATGGATCCGTTAAAAAGAATGCTCGCTTCCCTCCTTTTATAGGCACAACTTTGAAATAATTAAAATATTATGTCAAGATGAATCTCTGTAGTCTGTGAATTAAAATGGCTCATTATCATTTCTTCAGATACGCTGATAAGCCCTTAGTGGCAATAGCGCAGCAGGGCCTTGCTATGTTAATTAGAAAAAAAACCTTTCAATCATTTTATGCATTCATGATGAGCGTAGTTGTCTTGATATTCATCCCTGCACCTGGGGAATATTTTGAAGAGTTAATTGCAACTGATAATCTGTAAGTATTACCTTCTGCTTCCCCTAGAGTTAAAAACTGTAATAGCGATAGTTTTGTAAAAAAATAATAATAAGTATAATTTATCTACTTTATAGTGTTCATTAATGGAGAATATCTAATAGCCTATTCATAAAAAACTGCTGTGGCAGCAAACAATTGCTATGGATGTAGCATATAGACAACTGTGCCAGAATTTTCCCAGCATTGCAGAAGCATCACATCAGCAATGCAGGTGTATAGACCATAGGAAAGATTTAGGGTTGAGATGTTAGAAGAGAAGCAATAAGAGCTCTAAAATAGACAGTACCTGTTCACATCCAATAATGTAAGCCTTATTATGACTTTCTGGTTTTTCTATTTTATATTTATTGAAGAATAAACTAGCATAGATTGAATAGGAAAATTAAACCAAAAACAGGAACAGTCTTGAGGGTGGACTCCTTTGTTCCAACCTAACTATCATTCCCCATTACTAAAGTATGTTTCCAAGAGTACTAGGTTTTGTATTTTCTAGATGTGTGTCCTCCTGCCTCCCACTTCCTGGACTGAGCATGCATTGGATATGTCAGCCCAGGCACGCCCAAACTTGGCCCTCCAGCTGTTTTGGGACTACAACTCCCATCATCCCTAGTTAACAGGACCAGTGGTCAGGGATGATGGGAAAAATTCTGCAAGAGGCAGATTTGGGTCATCCTGTTGTTTCTCTGGATAGGAAGGGATCATCAAATGCTCCAATAATCCCTGATGCAGAGTCAGGGCAGTATTGCTCATCCCCAGGAGGGGCTGATGGCAGGGATGCTGGAGAGCTAGTGAGAGGCAGAGATGCAGTGAGTGATCAGCCTCCCCTATACAGTGGTACCTCTGTTTAAGAACAGTCCTATTTACGAATGATTCGGTTTACAAACTTCGCAAAACTGGAAGTAGTGACTCGGTTTGTGAACTTTTCTTTGGTCTAAGAACGGAATCCGAATGGTGGAAGGGCACCAGCGGTGGGAGGCCTCGTTAGGGAAAGAGTGCATCGGTTGAAGAACGGTTTTGGTTTAAGAACGGACTTCCGAAATGGATTAAGTTAGTAAACCGAGGTACCACTGCACATGGTCACTGGAAGAGCACACCCCTTGCTGCTTGGGAAGAACATTGCAGCCAGGGAAAGGCCAGTCTAGCCCCCTCCATTGGCCAGAGAACAAGCAGCTGAAGGGAGTTTGCTTACCCCTTTCACCAGCAGAAAGAACACTCTGCAGCAACTGCAAGTTGTCCTGGACTGCAGAACCTAATAGGAAACTTCTTCTGTACCCACCCATCATTTGGAGAACTCTGGTTTTGTGTGTGTTTGTGTGTGTGTGTGTATGTGAGAGTGAGAGAGAGAGGTGGGTTTTTGGAGAAGGGGTGTTAATGGTTGCATTACCTGTTGCTTATAAGTGCCTTGAGAAATATCTGAAAAGCAGTCAGGAAACAAATCTTCAAAACAAAATATAAATACAAATCTCGGTGAAATATACTCAGAGTCCTGAAGTGATTTCATGCTCTTTATTGCAGCTTGCAAAACAGTGATTTCATTGCCCCCCAAACCTCAGGCTTTTATATACATTATTCACATAATTAGTCCCGTCTGATTGGCTGATTCTGCTTCCCTCCTGGAGCCTGATTGGTCTTTTCCTGCAGGCCAATCAGTTGTTGCATTCTAGGATCCTACCAGCCTAATAGGCTGATTAACTTCCTCCTGGAGCCTGATTGGTCTTCTCCTGCAAGCCAATGAGTTGTAGCATTCTAGGATCCTACTCGCCTATTGTTCTAGGATTCAAGCTTAGTACGTAACACTTGGGTTCATAGAAGCCTTTGATTTTGACTGATTTGATTTGATTTGTGTCTCTAATGGTGCACAGCTTGGGAATGGCAGCTGTGTATCAACAGCTTTTCCAATACCAAAGTTGTTTATGTGCCATTACACCAGCCCTGTGCAGACCTTAGAGCAGAGTTGCAGGCAGGTAGCCAGCGCAAATATTTAGAAGACGGGTGTTGTCAAGCTGCCGTCCTCTGCAAGAGCCACTGCTTTGCAATCTTCATGAATTTAAGTTGTGTACCCACCCCAGTAAAGTGAAGCGAAGGCTGCAAAACCTAATTTAATCAGGGCTAATTATTATTTTTTAAAGTCTGCAGCATTGTTCCCCATTAGAAAACGATTTGGAGAAATGGCGCTTGGTCAAATAACCCTTTAAATGAGCCACATTACTGAACTGAAAGACGTAAGTGGCAGTCTTGTGAAATCTTATTGGTAATTAATAAGCATTTTCACTCCTGAGAAAGTGTATTATTTATATTCTTTTGTGATTATCTATCTATACTTTGGCTGTCAACAGTCATAGTTTGGAGTCATGCTTGTCAACACTTGTTCAGAATTCTATTACTCTGAGCGAGAACATGCTCATCCATGCACAACCATCCACTCAGTTTTAATTGACAGCCTTTCCCTCCTTCCCAAGCAGCAGCTAAGATGTTTTTCACTGATCCTGTGTTCCACTATTTTAAAACCTGCTATATTCTTCTGTTGTATGATTTAAAAAAAAAAAAATTACGTGTGTGTATATAATCTACATTTGCCACTTAGTAGCTCAGCAATGTTATATCTGGAGATTCCAAAGTCTGACATATCCTTATCAAAACCCTGTAGCAAGTAAATGCCTTGTTTGTGGGGTGTGGGGGGAATGGAATCCTTAAAAATCAGTACCCCAAGCAAGCACAGATATTGCAGAGTGAGATGTTGCAAGGAGGGAAAAGTTGTCTTGTATCCAATGATGACACAGGCACTACCCAATAGGTTCCTGTGTCACTGTTGGGCTATCACACAGGGTCTCAACAGGGAGGGGGATAAACACAGTTAACCAACAGCAATAAATTGTGGTTTGAGTGGTGGGTCCTGTATAATAGAAACACAAATTGCACTGAAGATCCTCAGTCATAAGTGTGCTGCCATAAAGAAAACTGAAATGTGTCTACAAGCCCTAATCTTATTTTGCGATGATTAAAAAGATGTCGTAGAAAAGCGAAAGGAACCAGGAAAAGTGTGGAAGGGAAGTCATATGGTATATGTATACATGCTGTATTTGGTATGAAGTTGTAAGTGGGATAGGGGGAGGGGGGGTTAAATATGCTCTCTGTTCCTGTTTTTGAAAATGCAAAAAAGAAAAACATTTTGCTTTATTTCACTATACGGAATCAGATTCTTTTTAGCTCGAATGCCTCAGCAGTGACCCCAGATGTATTACATGTTCAGTAACACCAGTCCTTCTGGGATATTACGGTAAATAAACAAATCATTCCATCTGTACAGTATCTCAAGGGTAGGGAGACAGACTATTTAAATTACAAATTTGAGGGGGTCGCATCATACTCGTAGATATTTAGCAAGGAGAAACAGGCTAAGTTTGTCAGATAAATTATTCATTGTGAATTTATTCTCAGTTCCTGCTCTGCATTTAATCTACTCCCTTCCACTTAATGTGGTAATATTTTAAGCTACATAGAAATGGATTCTAAAGACAACAATTGTAATTACATGTTAACTCTTATAATACTGTCATGCTCTGTGCTGATTACTGTGTGCTTAATTCATGCCGCTACTTAATGCGGGGAGCAGAACTGCTTGCTCAGTATTGCTACTTTGGCTTTTATTTTGGCCGCTACCAGTAGTTAAAATGATTAGGCATGCTTTTATTGCCGCAAAAAAATGAATTAGTGTGATTCCCACTTGGCTGGTTGGCTGAATTATAACTTGCATAAATTCCAGGTGGCTCAGCAGGTGGTGTTGTGAGTGCTACCTGTCTTAGATAGTAATTTAAGCTGCAAACCACTGATTCTGAAGTGATAAGGACCCCCAAGAGTGGTGTTTTGCTCATCTGTAACTTGTTTCTCTGCTCCATCTCCTCTGTTGGCTTTCATCCTACTTTTTGGCCTTCTTTCCTTCCCTATCACTGTACTACTTCCTCTTTTTCTCATCCCATTTTTTGAAGGCCGCTTTACACATAGCTCAGTGGTAGAGAACATGCTTTGCAAGCAAAAGATCCTGGGTTCAATTCTGTTATTTCCAGGTAGGTCTGGAAAAGAGCACTGGCTGCAACAGACCTGCTGCCAGTCATTGTAGACTATACTGACTTACAAGTAGACAGACCAATGGCCTGACTGACAGCTTGCTATGTTAACACAGTGGGTATTTTTTTTATAGAAGGCCAATTTGTGGACCAATTTGCAGAAAATCTGCAATACCTCACTGTCACCTACATGAGCTTTCTGCTACATGCAAGCCCACTGGCGTGCTATGAGTTACCTGGCAGGTGTGGCCAGTCATTTCCCTAGAAATGTGGGGCTGGAACTACACGTTTGATGGTAGATCCAGATCTGGCAAACTAGAGTGTGCAGTGGAGAAGCTGCAAATGGGGAGTTGATTTCAGGCCTACTGCTGAACAATCTCTGAGAAGATTGCTTGTATTTGGGTTGACCTGAAGTTGGAGCTTGAGTCTGAAGTTCAGAAGCAGATTTGTCCCTCTCAATCAGTACTACCTGTATTTCTTTGCAAATGACGCCTCATTCCTTAATAGCAATTCAAAATTAGTTACATTGAAATGTGCTTTGCTGCAAATGACAAAATTGGGTGTTATGTACACTTACCTGATGACAGAAGGTTGTTACGGGTTTTTTTTAAAGCAGAGATGATGCCCATTAACGCATCCATTGTATCTGATGTGATACCTTCAAGGAATTCTGCAAGCACCTAGACAGCAGATTCACCTTGCCCTGAAAAGTAGGATTCCCCTATCCTCATTGTTGGTTATCCAACATAGTCCCCACCTCTGACCCCGCCAAGCAGGCTTTTATTGTATGTGGCAGATAATATTGTATGCTTGGTTTTAGCTGCTGTTCCCATCTCCTTGCTTGGTTTTATATTACAGTGGTACCTCAGTACTTAATTCATTCCAGAGGTCCAATCTTAACCTGAAACTATTCTTAACCTGAAGACCACTTTAGCTAATGGGGCCTCCCGTTGCTGCCACGCCGCCAGAGCACGATTTGTGTTCTCATCCTGAAGCAAAGTTCTTAACCTGAAGCACTATTTCTGGGTGAGCGGAATCTGTAACCTGAAGCGTATGTAACCTGAAGCGTATGTAACCCGAGGTACCACTGTACTGAATTTATTATAATTTTAAATGCTATAAGCCACCCTGAATAGTGTTTCTGTGCAAGAAGGCTGGGATATAATTGCTTTAATGACATGGAATAAAACAAAAGCTGCTCTGCCTTTAAAACACTGTACCTTTCAAAACACCAAGGGGGAAAAACATGCAATGCAGCAGATCCATGAACAGGATCTTTAAACATTTTAAAACTTTAAATCAGTGGCAGGGTGCTCTGATTTTGATCCCAGCAGCAATCAATGCAGGAAGGAAGCTTACCCGCTGCACTCTAACTCCCTTCCCAATCTTAACCTGGTGTGAGCCCTGCTGGGGAATAAAATCTAGGCACCGATATCATGCCTGTAGTTTCCTCTAGCAAGTCTAATGGCAGATTTGGAGAGGATGGGGAACAAGCAATATTGATGGGGAAAACAGCACCAGGGAAGATTATGTTGCTTCAGTAAAAACCAGTCTCCCTGATAAATGATCTGATTTCAGATCTTTTATGTCTTGTCTGTTTTGGCTCCAAGTTGTCCCGCAAATGGAACAATAATGTATCTCTCTCTCTTTTTAGCAGTGCCACCAGATGGCAGCCTAACACAAACGTTTGAAAATCATTTTCAAAGGCTGAGAACATTATGCTTTTACTCCCTCTCCCTGTCTTTGTTTCTAATGTCTGTCTGCAAAGGTGTTTTCTGCTCCCCCCCATCCCCCCACTGGAGGCCAAACTAGACATGCAGAAGTAAAAATAGAAAAACAGAAGCTGAATTTCATCTTGGTAATCCATCCTTCTCTCATGCATCACTGCCAAACTATGTCCACAGTCTATCTTTCTTGTTGAATGTGCTTCTCTTCTAAACACAGCATTGACAGCAATGTCTCTTCAGTTCTGAAAGGTACTCAGAGGGATCCAGTGCTGGCATGGCGGTGAAGTGGCTGTTCCCTATGTCATTTTAGCTAGACTGAGCTTAGCCAGGATCAGAGAATAAAAACTGAGCCAGAATATTGCCATTGTGTTAGCCTGCTTCTGAAAGAATTCCATTGGCTGTACTATACAATTACATTGATGGTACTGGTGTACAAAGCCCTGTACACCTTGGGACCAGGATACCTAAAATATTGTTTCACTCCTTATATCTGATCACTGTGTTCTGCAGGAGATGGCCTCCTGCAAATGCCATTTCATCAGGAGGCCCATTCCATACAATGTAGGAATCAGGGTCCTCTAAGGAGCCCGTGGTCCAGTCATCAGAGTGCAGTGGCTGGTTTAGGGGTAAGATGCAAGCTCCAGAGGGGAAGGACTGTGGAGTGGGTCCATTTCCTTCTCAAGACAACCTTTGTACGACAGCTCTGTATATGTGGGAATTCCTGATTCAGGGCAATGGCAACTTCTTGAGTAAAATACAACAGTCTTAAGAAGATGGGAAGTTGTAATTGGGAATGGAAGGGAAACTGTACTGTTGAGACTGGTAAGTCAAGTGCACGGGCAAAAAGTTCATAAACTATTCCTAATATTTCCTTCAGAGGCAATGTATTAACAAAATACCAGGGTCATTTGGAAGAAAACAAGGCATGGGTAATTGGCTATCTGCTGAGGCTGTCATAGAAACATAGAATGGTAGAGTTGGAAGGGAGCATGAGTGTCATCTAGTCCAGCCCCCTGCAATGCAGGGATCTTTTGCCCCATGTGGGGCTCAAATCCACAACCCTGAGATTAAAAGCCTCATGCTTTACCAACTGAGCTATGCTCAATTATCTCTGTAACTGTGAGGTCACAGAAAATCTGTTTCTTCTAAATATATATATTTTTTTAAAAAAGCAAATTATAGAATACATCATTTCAATTTCACAAGTCCCAGGGCTTCTAAGAAAATTGCAAAATGTTTCATGAAAATATAATAGGTAGATACGCTTTTTGCATGACAGTTTTGAAATATAAGGAATATCAGAGAGCTAAGACCTATGCTTTGCTGCAGGCAGGCTGGAGATCGTGATCTGGTCAGCACGGTGAGTCTTAAAGATTTGTGATGCTAGACCTGCAGGCGAGGGAGAAGAAAATGGAACTCTAATCATTTTGACACTTTCAATTTAGGAAGATAAATTTTGTGTTTTAAAATAATATGATGCTTTTTATTAGAAGCAAAATCATTTGCTTTGGAAGGATTCACCCCTGTTCCTTACCAAATTCCCAAGGACACCTTTATGCTGAAAAGCATTGGAAAGAACAAAAGCCATAAATGTGGCTCCAGCCAGTTGTGAGAGGAACTAAGCAGGGAGGCGAAAGGTTTCATCAGTTTCATCAGCAACTAGGGCTCACTGCATTTCATAAAGGTAAAGGTACCCCTGACCGTTAGGTCCAATCATGGACGACTCTGGGGTTGCGGTGCTCATCTCACTCTATAGGCCAAGGAAGCTGGTGTTTGTCCGCAGACAGTTTTTCCGGGTCATGTGGCCAGCATGACTAAGCCGCTTCTGGCGAATCAGAGCAGTGCACGAAAACGCTGTTTACCTTCCCGTCAGAGCGGTACCTATTTATCTACTTGCACTTTAATGGGCTTTTGAACTGCTAGGTTGGCAGGAGCTGGGACCGAACAAAGGGAGCTCACCCCGTCACAGGGATTCAAACTGCTGACGTTCCGATCAGCAAACCCTAGGCTCTGTGGTTTAGACAACAGCGCCACCGCGTCCCTTCTCCATTTCATACTTACCCACTAAGGGAGCAATCCTATGGGGCAACAAATTATGATGGCAGGGAAGCGAGAAGATATTCATGACTGAACAACTGCTATATCCAATGTCCCATTGTCCAGGGCAGAAGGTGGGGAAACTTAATTCCTCCCTCTTCAATCTTGGTCTCATTCCCACTGGATTTTGCCTCTGGGCCTGTTTTGGGGTCTTGGGGCTAGGTTCTTGTGGATTCGTGGCCTCCCCTGACATGCCCTGACACACCCCACTCTGAAGTTCTACATCCAAGAGTCCAAACCTACTGATTTGGCATGTTTCTCTTTACAGTGGTACCTCAGGTTACATACACTTCAGGTTACATACACTTCAGGTTACACACTCCGCTAACCTAGAAATAATGCTTCAGGTTAAGAACTTTGCTTCAGGATAAGAACAGAAATCGTGCTCCGACGGCGCGGCAGCAGCAGGAGGTCCCATTAGCTAAAGTGGTGCTTCAGGTTAAGAACAGTTTCAGGTTTAGAACAGACCTCCGGAACGAATTAAATACTTAACCTGAGGTACCACTGTAAAGCTGCCCCCCCCCCATGTTACTCAGGTGGCTCTCAACTTACGTGGGGGTTACATTTCGGGGATTGCGTGTAAAGCAAAAATCGTGCATAGTCAAGATACATTGGGTGCAATGGTGGGTGGGACTGCCAAAGTTTCCCCCTCCCCCCGATGCCTGCCTGCTTTCCACCCCTTTTACATTTTTATTTCTGCCAAGTGCATAAAGCTAAATGTGCACAAGTTAAATGTGCGTAAGGTGAAAGTTACCTGTATTAGATCAATGCTGAAAATCGGCGTGTTTGAAATGTGTTTGGCGTGTGTTGAAATAAACTGCATAGGGTTTGGTCTATTAAGGGTTTATTGTTGGGAGTGTTTGCATGTTGATTATTTTATTGTAATAAAGGATTTTTAAAGTGTCAAGATGCACTTGTGGCAGAAATCCCTTGGGCATTCTTTCATTTTGCTTGATATATAAAGGTTTCCTCCTGACCCAGGGAGCACACAAAAAAACCCAAGAGCATTTGCTCAAGTTGCTTGTCAAGTCAGAAACACCACCTCATATTTATTTCTTCTCTGTCTTTTAGGGCAACCCCTTGCATAACATTTTACAAGAAAAATGTTTGGGTTTTTTTAAACCGTGTAACAAATAATATAATAGAAGCAGCTTCCAATAAAAATAATATGCAGGAGGCCAGCAATAAGATCAACAAAGAGCTTGCCAGAAGAAACCAAAAATTGGATTCTCAAGGAAGGAATTTCACAGGTTTTGAAGCAAAAACATGAAGTGCCATTTCTCATGCAAGTGTTCCATGCAATATTATGAGGTGCTAGAGACCTTGGGTAGGGTGGGCAAACATCTTCACATTGCTCTGCAAGGAGTGCAGGGAGGGAGGGCAGTGGTGGCCTGGCAAAAAGCAATGTTGTTTAGAGGCTTCCTTCACAGCTGGTTTGGACACTTCCCAGGACTAAATGAGAAGACATAATCCCAGCATCCTCTCACTTAGTTCTGAGAGGGTTCTTCAACCTTGAGGGCCAGATGGGTAATTTGCATAGGTCTTGTTGATGACAACATGAGTGGGTAGGGGCAGCGGCAGAGCAAGCCACTTGGGCGCATGTGCCCAGCACCCAGAAGATGAAGAAGAGAAGAGTTTGGATTTGATATCCCGCTTTATCACTACCCAAAGGAGTCTCAAAGCGGCTAACATTATCCCTTCCCTTCCTCCCCCACAACAAACACACTGTGAGGTGAGTGGGGCTAAGAGACTTCAAAGAAGTGTGACTAGCCGAAGGTCACTCAGCAGCTGCATGTGGAGGAGCGGAGACGCGAACCCGGTTCACCAGATTACAAGACTACCGCTCTTAACCACTACACTACATGGGGCAGGGTGAGCTGGGGCAGGATGCTCCGCGGGGCCTCTGAGGAGTCTGCCTGCCTCCTCCCGCCCTACAGCTGAGGGGAAGGCAGCGAGCGGACCGTTTGGGGCAGCGCCGAGCCTGTGGGCGCCCAAGCCACCACGTCACTCCCAGGAGAAACGCGTGGCTTAGGCACGCTGCAGGTCCCGCAGTGAGTGTCGCCCACCATTTTGTCACTCACCTCAGTGGTGATACACAGGGCGGACCACCCCCATCACTCACCCCTTCCTCCGCCCCTGGGTAGGGGAGTCTGGCCTTTGATCAGCTTGGGTGGAGGGAGGCTTTTCCTGCTTTGCTGCAGAAAATGGCATTATCCATTTGGGGGGCACCAGCTAAGCTGACTTGTTAAGAACCAGAATGTTCCTCCTGTAAAAGGAAGCTCCAATTCTTTAAATAGGAGGAGGCACACTACAAATTTCAAAGCTTGTTTTTGAAAATTTATTAGGTGGAAAGTGTCACGGTCCAGTTTACGGGCGGTCAAAGTCCTGGCAGAGGACGTCAGGACCGGGGGCAAGATGGCGGGGTGGGAGCAGGAACGAGAGTCCGGAAGCCAGGAGTCAGGAAGCCAAGGGTCAGAGAGCCGGTAGTCAAGAAGCCAAGGGTCTGAGGAGCAGGAAGCAAGGAGTCAAGAAGCCAAACGCAGCAAGGCAGGAAGCGTGTTGCTGTGGCAAAAAGCCAAAGGGAAATGCTGACCGTATATCTCTTCCCAACTCTTGCCACCAGGTGCTGTGAGTTACCAATCTGCCTCACCTGTGCGGCCATGCCTTGCCTCCTGAGAACAAACTTAAGAATGCCCCAGTCCTGTGAAGCCCTACTGGTCACAGGGCCTGGCTCCTACATGCACTCCTGACAGAAAGAACCAGTGTTCCAGGTAAAATGATGCACTGCTTGGCCCGCTTTGGCTATGACACAATACAATATAGTTTTGTCTAGTACCAACTAGGATAAAAAGAGCCTTTGAGAGCAAATTCCATTTGCTTAGAAGTTGGAAGCAGATTGTTAGATGGCATTTAATTTTATGATGCAGTTATTAAAATCATAGATGAAATATCTCAAAATATATTGGTGCTGGAACTCTGTGCATTAAAAACAATGATTCTGTCTAATCCTAGATGATTAAAACGCTGTGGTTTAATGGCTTCTTACGTCAGATTCCTACATTCCTCTGCATTCAATAATAAGTTTATGGATTCAGCCTGTGGTTACAAAATGGTTTGATAAACGTGGCCTAGGTTGGCTCCTGTGTGTACAAGAGTATAAAAGCCAGTGCCCGTTAGAGCTACTATTATCCAACCTTGGATGCTGATTTACAGTTTCAGCACTTCAGCCTGTGCCAAACAAATGGTAATTTTGAAAATCATCAAGACATTTTTAAAGTCTTAAGAAAAGATTAAAACTTTTCAAAGCTGATGCAAACACACAACTTCTTTCCTGATAGGAACAGTGCATATAGAGGTATCTTTATTTCCTGCTTCTATCTCTATGGAGAATTTCAGTACCAATCTATCTGCACCTTCCTCTACACTGAAGGGTTTCTGTTACTTGAAGAAAACGTAATGCAGTACACAGCCTTCGGAGAACAGACAGCCCCAGTCCCAGTTTTTCAAGTACAAAAAAATTGAACCTTTTCAAAACTGGTGAGCTACAGAGCTTTCCAGAATATAAAAGCCAGCAGTTTTGCAAGACCTACTATTATCCAACATGCATTTTGATCTACAGTTTCAGCACTCTGGCTTTTAGACACATAAAATTGTACCAAACAAGTGACACAGACTCCAAATGTAAAAAACACCACACCAAAATCTTTTGAAAGCCCTTGTTTTTTTAAATCCCCCACCCCAGTACGGAAATTAAACCTTTTCAAAACTGATGCAAACATATGACTTAGTTCTTTCCTGGTAGCAACAGCATAGATCTTTATTTCCTGTTGACAAACTCAACATGCTGTTGCTCCTTCCTCCCATGCTGTTGCCACTTCAAAAAATTCCAACTTATTGGTTGGCACTAACCAGTGCAAAACCTGCCAAAAGACAAGCTAGAGACAAGATCTCATGTGATGAACCATCCCAAATCCCTCAGTATGAGTATAGAGCATCTGTGCATT